ACAATAAATATTATTTTCAAAAAATCAGGTAATTTATGCACTATTTCACATCTTGATCCCTGGACTTTCCTTTTACTGCTCTTTCTGTTTCCTGCCCTAAACCTTCTGAGGTCAGCCAGAGAGAATGAGTGGCTGGGTGGGGTTTTGGCTGCCACTTGGGGCCAGCCCAGGAGGAGAAGGCAGAGTGGTGCAAAGCCTGAGCTATGGCAGCTCTAGAGGCATGAAAGAGTGGATGGGAAAGTGACAGCTTCCAGCAGTTCTTGATAAGGAATTTCATAGTTGTCATAAGTTTTCTTATACTGTATCTATGAGTCAGTGATGGTAAGGTTTCCTTATAGATATCCTTTGTCCTTAAAATGATGTAGCCCTTTGGACTTAGGTCTCTTCTGTGATTAATCATTGATGACCTAGCAGCCTATTTTAACTTAAATAACTTTGATTAAATTTATCCATTTTAAGTCCACCTAATAGGTATACTTTGGACTCACAAACTGTGATTTTCAGTTCCTGGACAGAGGCATATAAAACATTTTGGACTTATAAATTTTTGTAGCAGTAAGAATAAAACTGAATATAATATAGAGAGAGGCCTTGATGGTTGTCATTTGTTGTATCAGATGGTCCTGATATTCTTCATGCAGCCACTACGAGAGGAGGTTTGACTATATGACCTTTAAAAGTCCCTTCCAACCTAAACTATTCTAAGATTCTATAACTACTAATAGTGGAAACTGCCTAACAAAAGTATGTGGGAGAAAACCACATCTTTTATATATTAGTGGAATTTTTTTTCAGTTGTCTACTAAAACTATTTTACCCAAAAAAAGAAAAATACATATATTTTAAAAAGGACATTTTAAAATACAAGTAATTTTAATTTACATTTATTTTCAAATAATTTTGAAAATATGGTTATACACAAACAGAAAAATAAACCCAAACCAAAGTATGAACAAAAAACAAAACCTAAATATTAATACAAATCAAATTATATTAGTAACCAGATATTTAAATTCCAAAGAAATTTACAGGAAACAAAAAATATCATTAGAAAAATAACTGGGCAACCAGCATTAGTACTCTTGCAGAAAACAGTAATAGGTAATGCAAACCAGCTCTATTGTGCTTATTCTAGAATATTTTAAGAATATTGAGATTATCTGCAGCAAATCCCCTATGTGAACATTGTAGCAAAATGTATAGATTGAGATGTGAAAAGTGTTCTTCAAATGGTATAAATGCTCAGCAGCCAATAACTATTTGTATCTGTCATAACAATTGAAAGCAGAATCAGCCAGAAAATCAGCACAAAATCCAGCTGCCACTGCTAGAAAAAAAATTGAATGCATTATTTTGTCTTGTGCTTGACAAATTCAACTCTTTAGCAGTGACCACATCAATCTTGAAATAGAAAGAGGACTATATAGATTAGAGAGCCTTATAATGTTCTTTCTTATTGACACCTACATAAAGATATTGTCCTAAGCATTTAATATTGTTTGCTGATATTGAAAAGGTGTCTGGAATATCCCTTTTTTACCTTTATACACAGTATCCATGTACATGCTGGGTAGCATTCAGGTACAGATTTAGAGTTCTGCAAGTTATATATGATCATGATCAATGAAAAGGTTTCAGTGCTGCTACTTTCTCTACCTCAACAACTTTTCTACTGCAAAATATGAGGAAAACTAAAGAAAAATGCAAGTGCATATTTTTCAATCTGATTTTGTTTATAAGGAAAGAGATGGTTTAGTATTTTTTCTCTGATTAATCAATTCCATGTGATTCCCTATGCAGGGTCAGTAACAACATCTGTAGTTAAGGATGCATACAAGTTCTTACTCCAATAATCACTTTTCAGTGGCTTCTAGTCTTACACAAATTTTAATTTTCTTTTAAAATACACCAAGTTTCTGCTCTCTTTGAAATTAAACTGTCTTTCAGGTGTTGGAAAAGTAGTTTAGCCCTTTTTGAGAAACAAGAATAATTTTCTCACATGTTAAAATAAGTGTTTTAAAGAAATTTTCAGCAACTCTTTGAGTTAAAAAAATGGATACCTTTAATAGCATACCTTCATAGGACTGTATTATGTTCAGGAGTATAGTAGGAATAAAAAGAATGCGTGTTGACTAAATTTTTATGAGACCGAAAATAGCATATGATTGCTGAAAAATTAACTTTAATAAACAAATTTCATAAGTTCTGTTATTTTGTCTATCTCCACTGTCTTGTGGAAACACACAGAATCCACGAATGGGTGAAAATTTTATATTTTTAAACCCATGCAGTCTTCATCTTTCAGTAAATTCATCAAGATCTCAAAGGAAGTTGTAATTTACTCATATGGCACCCCAGCTCACATCTATTCAAGGAATTCTGTGCTAGGAAGACATAAATAGTATTCCTTAGTTTCTGTGAGAGCAGAGATACCCACATCCACTAAAAGATCTAGGCTGGAGAAGACAGGAAGAGCTGTGAGGAAAAAAATAGAAAAAAAAGCCCAAACCATAGGCAGTATGCTGTAATTATCTCAAAACTTATATATAAACTCAAGGTTTTGAGGGTATCATTCTCCCATGCAATTTATTTTAAGACTACTTGCTAATGAATATTACTTTGTGATATTTCATGAATCCAAAATAACCAGGACAGTCTCTTGATACATTTCTTTAGAAGTTTTTCCATATTTCCCAAAACTTTTAGAGGTACTTACAAACCTTACTTAAGAACAACGTTACCTTTTTTAGGGAGACATTAATTTGGTCAAAGGTAGTCTTTGCCACTCAGCTACTGAGAGAAAGCAAAAATATATAGAAGACTGTTTAAGAAGATAAATGCAACATACAGATTCAATAATTACCATTTTTATCTACACATGGTACAGGAACTATCTGCTTCCTATAAAAATGCACGTTTAGAGATTTCAGGCCAACAAAATCAACTGCAGTTTATAGAAGTACAGGAATGCATTTGTTCAACCCAAAGTCAACTAAAAATATTTGTGTAGAAGAAGGAATGGTAGAATCTGTAAGGATGGGGCTCACCTGCTCTGTGGTGGAGGCATGGTCCAGGTGTGATGGGAATGTGCCTGGCAGATCAGAGGGCTCCTTTGTGCCTAGCAGATAAACAATCCCTCTTCCTCTGACTGCTGAAACCAGACCCCATTTTTTCTTGTCAGTTCAAGATTGTGGTCAAATGGTCCTGTTAAAAAAACCCCAAACAAATACACACACCCCCTAAATCACACCAAACCAAACCAAACCAAACCACACCAAACCACACCACCTCTCTCACATTTCTCAGATTGTTTTTTTCCAGATTTTGGTCAGTGTACTCAGCAAAAGTGTAAACAGGAAGGTTTTCATGTGTGAAAACATTTTGAACCAGACATTAAAAAAATAAATATTTATAATGAAGACCACAGTATTCAGAGCATTTTGCAATCACCATTTGATTATATTAACTCTATTTAAAATGTTTAGGTTCCTTAAGAAAAACTTGTCCTTCCTTAAAATATGTCTGTCATATTAATTTACAAAACAGCTTTCTATTTGCTTGTACATTCTTAAAAAAATTATTTTCTCCCTGAAATAATTTATATATATATATATATTTTGATTTATTTTATCTTATCATATATTGGTATTTATGGAATATATTTGTCAGAAGAGAAATAGAGTGAAAGTATTTTGATAATTTATGCAAGGCCTCAGAAACATTCTGTGCCAGCCATAATGACAGAAACACAACCTTTGCTTTTATCTAGACTGTGTGTAAACAAATATTATGTGATGAAAAAAACTCCAGCAGCACCAATATTTTAGAAGATACATATATCTTTTTTTTCCACAATTGGTAGTTGGGGGGGCCTTTTTTAACTACTTTATTGGGAGGATATTGATTTTTGGGTTAAAATGCTCATTAGCCACAGCTCTTCTTGTTTGTTCTTTTAAAATATCTTTTTAATGAATCAGAGCTTAGGAATTACAAAGATAGCCAGCTGCAAATCCAGTTTCATTCCATATATCCATAACAGTACTCTACAGATACTTCAGCAACTTTTTCTCCTGGTGGTCCATTTGTTACTGGACTTGAGAAGTGCCATTTGCAGGAGTTCTCAGACTCCATCATGATTATGTTGTCTACATTTTACATGATAAACAAATCAACAGCATATATAAAATATACTGCCACTTTTCAGTTTTATTTTGGCCCCTAGACCTTCACTTTGCTCTTGGATTGTAAAAATCATGTTCAGCATCTGAATTTTTGTGGAGTTGTCATCAAAATACTAATTTTAGTGGTCTCTTTTAAATTATTTCAGTGAAAAATCAAGAATGCAGATAGTTCAATAGCTCATGTGTTATTTATTTGGCAACGAAGTTAAGCTGGTTTTTCACTGTTCACATATTTTCAGCTCTTACAGAACAATGTTTTCACAGTGGAAGTTAACCTGATTTTTTTCCAGTGATTAGTATATTTATAAATATAGTCTTATCAAAAATATACTGTGAATTTGAACCACTAATGTAATGATGGAGTTTTAGTTGTAACATTTCTCAGCAGATGCAGCCCTGGTCTGGAGGTTGCATACAAAGTTCACTGTCTTTTTTCTCTGAAGGACTTGCATAAGAGCTGGTGTTGTAGCACAAAAGTGTTCTGGAACAAAGTGTTTCCATTTGCCCTGTGCATTTCAGAACACAAAGGATGAATCACAGCACCTTGAGACCTTGCTTAGTCATGGCAGGTCTGTAATCAGAAGCAACATAACCGTGTCAGCGTGCCAAATACTGCAGAGAGTGACCTGTGAGCGGCCTTGGGCAGGCCAGTGTCCATCACATGTACAAGGTGTCTGCTGTGGGGCATGAGACCAGACCCCAGGCAGTGGCAGTGTGACAGAGACATGACCCTGTGTGAGCAATGATCAGGTATGACACTGCTGGAGCCCTGCTGGGGCAGGGGGCACCTGGGTCTGCCTCCTCAGAACAGTGGGTTGGAAGCTGGGGTCTCACCCCATGGGCTGGGATGCTGCCTAAGACAACTCCTGGAGAGCCCCCACCTGACTGGGTGAGTGACTATGCATTCTGGCTTGCTCTTTCTGAAACCTTGGGAATTGTTAAATCAGTTGGGCAGTATCAGTTCCATTTGTCATCACAAATTCACAGTCAATTGCTGGCAGAGCTTTAATTGGTTTATCTGGTTGAACTAGTTTATAAAATAGATCTCATTTGAGTATATTATTTGTCTGAATACTCTAAGATTCCACAATAGTCAGATGAGACAGGCTTTTTTAAATGTTTCAGAAAATGCTAGAAGTGGTCATTTCATCACCTCACACAGAACACCTTAACACAGTCCTAAATTCTTATGGCAGTGTAAGTATACAGGCATTTGGAAAGGCAAAGAACAATGGGAATAAACTCATACAGAAGAGAAATCAGAAAAATTTGATAATTTTCTTTCAGCAAAATTATAGTGTGCCAACTTTTTGGAACATGCTCTATATTCACCACCTGAACACTGGATACATTGCACATTGAGTCATTACTTCTGAAAGAAAACTGTAGCCTCTATAATGGTGTTGTTATGAACAGATCTGAGGGTTGTTGTTTGCTTTGTTGTTTATGTTTTTGTTTTTGTTGTTGTTTCCAGATGGAAGTGTGGCTTTAAAATGTTAAGTTACTGGCTGAGTATGGTTAGGCTGGACACAGCAACATTCATGTTTCTGACCTGTCAAGTTTGCCATTTAAGAGCCATGACCTTCTGTTTCCTCCCAAATGCACTTCATAGCCCAGTAGTACTTCAGTGTTTCTCTGCAATTATGCCTGAATACATATTATACCCTGCAGGAACTAAAATAAAATTAAATTAGTGATAAAAACCTCCAGAGCTCTTGATGTTACTTTATTGATTTTTCTCTTAATTCTTCACTTTCTCTGTTCCCACTGCTGATGTGTTCTGACCCCATTTATTTATTAAATATGCCTGATTGTCATGACTAAAATAATATCTGCTTGAATTTACCCATGTCTCCCTGATGTACTGACATTCATGCTCTACTTCCCCTGTATGAATTCCTTTAATGGGAGATAAAGATTCCATTTTAAGTATTGGTATCTATTACTGTTCTGCCCTTGGCATTGTAAGTCACTAGGTCTTAAGTTTAGTCGAAAAATTATGTGAATTTCTGCACAAAGTTCTTCTGTGTATACAAAACCACATTGTAGGTGAATGGGCATCCTGGCTGCCACTGAATTAGCCCAGTTAACATCTCCTGGACCCCTGACCAAGGGAGGGCTGTTCAGTGCCTTGGTTTCAAACAAGAACTTTATATAAATTTTGTTTCAACAAGAGGAGACAAGTAACAATGGTGACATGTTGAACCTGGAGTTTCAGGGGAAACGATGTAAGTTCACCCTTTTAGGATGCCCATTTGAGACAAGTCATCTGTTTTCCTATCAGTTTCTTTGAAGGGCTGTGGATGTTGTGCATTTGGACTTTAGCAAGGCCTTTGGCACTGTCTCCCACAGCACACTCCTGGAAAGCTGCAGCCCACGGCTTGGACAGCAGCACTCTGTGCTGGGCTCAGAACTAGCCGGCCCAGAGAGTGCTGGTGAATGGTGCTGCATCCAGCTGGGGCCAGGCACCAGTGGTGTCCCTCAGGGCTCTGTGCTGGGGCCAGCTCTGTCCAATATTTTTCTTGATGACATGGATGACAGGATTGAGTCTTTCATTAGTAAATTTGCAGATGACACTAAGGTAGGAGAGTGTGTCCATCTGTTGGAAGGTAGGAGGGCTCTGCAGAGAGACCTGGAACAGTTGAATGGAGGGGCAGAGTCCAGTAAGTTTAACAAGTCCATGTGTTGCAGAAGATAGATAAATGTAATTATTCATAAATAATACAGCCAAGATAAAACAGTCCTCCCTGCCTACGGATGGGTCCAGGGGTCAAGTGGACTGTTCCATCCCACCCCCCAAAAAATGTATGGTTCACCCTGCACCTCTATCCCTCCCCTAAAACATCAAATGCTGTAACCCCATTGGCCCAAGCCTTGTTCCAGCCCACCCTGAAGCCCCCTGAAAAAGGGGCTCTGAGGGGCTGGACGGCCTCTTGGGTCTTCCTCCCCTCTCTTGGAACTTCTCCTCTTAGAAATCCCCTCTCCTCTCCTTGAGCATCCTTTTGTCTCTCCTCTCCCCCACCTCCTTAAGCCTCGCCATGTGCTGCATCTGGCACCTCGAGGCAGGACCTCTCTACATCCCCAATAAACCTTATTCCCCAAGAGCAACCTTCAGAGATCTCTCACTTCAATCCATCTACACCATCCTGGAGCAGGCAGCAATCACAATATCCATGTTCCAAGTCCTTCATTTTGGCCACAGTAACCCCCTGCAACATTACAGGCTGGGGACAGTGTGGCTGGACAGTGCCCAGGAGGAAAGGGACCTGGGGGTACTGGCTGACAGCCAGCTGAACATGAGCCAGCAGTGTGCCCTGGTGGCCAAGAAGGCCAATGGCTCCTGGCCTGGATCAGGAATGGTGTGGCCAGCAGGAGCAGGGAGGTCATTCTTCCCTGTACTCAGCACTGGTGAGGCCACACCTTGAGTGTCGTGTCCAGTTCTGGGGCCTCAGTTTGGGAAGGATGTTGGGACACCTGAGTGCATCCAGAGGAGGCAACGAGGCTGGTGAGGGGCTTGGAACACAAGCCCTGTGAGGAACGACTGAGGAAGCTGGGGGTGTTTAGCCTGGAGAAAAGGAGACTCAGGGTGACCTTATCAATCTCTACAACTTCCTGAAAAGTAGCTGTAGTCAGGTGGGGTTGGTCTCTTTCTCCAGGAAACAACTGACAGAACCAGAGGACACAGCCTCAAGATGCACCAAGGGAAATATAGGTTGAATATTGGGTAAAAGTTATTATGGAAGAGTGATAAAGTACTGGAATGGTCTACCCATGGAGGTGGTGGAGTCACCATCCCTGGATATGTTTAAAAATAGACTGGATGTGGCACTCTCTGCCTCCCAATTGAGGCATTGGGACATGGATTGGACTTGAACTTGAAAGTCTCTTCCAACCTAGTGATTCTGTGATTCAGTGACCTTTGGTTTCTTTCACTTCATGTTTACTATTCACAGTTATAATGTATTTTTATGATAGCTTCCAGGAAATATGAAAGAGCTAGCTAAAGGCTATTTTTAATTTTATTGACTTTTGCCATAATTTTTACATGGAAGATTTCAAAGAACTTTGAAAACATTTTTCAAAGCTTTTTGAGAGCTGAACACAACAGCCTTTTGCCTTTTTAGACAGAGAAATGAGAAAATTGTGCCTTTCAGTTTGCTTTCTAACGGCAGCATTAACTTTTTGAAGGAAATATCTAGGTTCATGGATCTCCTATCAGGTACAGAGAGAGGATTCTAACTCACATTTCTATATTTACTAGCCAGATCCCACTGGATTGTAAAGCTTGCTTTCTGTTTTTCTGAGATCCTACAGTGGGAGCTGTTTAACTTTCCTATGTAACTAACTCAGAAAGACAAAGAAAGGGAAAAATCGTGCATTTGGGGCAAGGGTGAGACGAGGGAAAGGAAGAATTCTACTCTCTGGTGGTTAGGGCATTTACTTATAATGGAGTAGAGAGAGTTTCTAGTACTTATTGCAACCATTTGTGATTACATTTTGCTAGACATAAATTGCTCAAACAGGAAATATGGAGAGTACAATTTCATAAACTCTGTCATGAAACTGAAGAATGAAAGGGACACACACATCAGAAGAGCAATAACGTAGTGCTTAAAATATTCTCTTGATCACTTGGAATTAACCACCGCCCCTCTAAACAACATAAAGTAAGCTGCTGGGATAATAAAACCCTAGAACAACAAGCCCCAAGGGAATGCTCATTACCTGTGATTGGAAGATACTCCAATAAGACAGTGAAGAGAATGACTCTTCAAGGACTTGCATAATTCAAATAACTGAGTAAGCTGTGATATCACCATATTTTTTACTAACCTGGCTGTTTCATGCTTATATTAGATAGACATTCACAAATAGCAGTTGTTAAAAAAAAAAAAAATTGAGGTAAAATAAATTTTATTTAACAGGATGCTTAATTAGTGCCCAGTTCACAATAGAAATCTGCATCTTCATCTGGTTTGTATGACATTCCCAAGCTGCTCTTCTGATAAATTCTTATAATCCAATTGGCCCATGATCCTCCAGTAAATGCAATATTTATTTCTACTGGTTATCTGAACTAAATACAAAATACTTCTTAAATGTCCCTTAACTATCTGGAAAAGATGTGGCCTTTACTGCCTCTTCAGGAATGGGTTTGCATGGAAAAGTCTAGCGGGGAGAGAGGGCTACAAGGGTGGATTCTGTAAGAAGCAGCCGAATTTCCCCCCATATCCAACAGAGGCAATGCCAACTGGCTACAAGATGGAATTACTGCTGACCAGGATTGAACCAATCAGCCAAACATGATACGTTTAAGAAGGGTAAAACATTTCTGTACAAGAATTGCAGCCAGAGAAGAGAAGAGTGAGAATGTGTGAGCGCAAAAGCCCTGCAGACACCAGGGTCAGTGAAGGAGGAGGAGCAGGAGGTGCTCCAGGAGCAGGAGCTGAGATGGTGCAGGCCATGGTGAGAATGGCTGTCTCCCTGCATCCCATGAGGATCCCTGCTGGAGGAGAAAGAATCCACCTGCAGCCTGGGGAGGACCCAGTGCCAGAACAGGTGGTACACAAAAGAGCCTGTGGCTCCATGGGGGAGCTGTGCTAGAGCAGGCTCCAGGCTGGACCTGTGGATTAACAGAAAGAGGAGCCCACACTGGAGTGGGTTTACTGGAAGGACTTGTGATCCCAGGAGGCCCACGCTGGAGCAGACTGTTCCTGAAAGACTGCACCACGTGAGAGGGATCCACATGAGCTGTTAAAGAGGAACTGCTGCCCAGGAGAAAGATTCATGTTGGAGATGTTTGGGGAAGACTGTCTCCTATGTGAGGAACCCTACAATGGAATATGGAAAGATTTGAGGATCCTCTCCTCATGGGCAGGAGCTGAATTA